TCTGGGCAAAATAAGATCAAGTTCAGCAGGCATTTCTTCCCTCCCCCCCTCCTGTCTGGAGCATGTGTGATTCAGAACAGAGTTTAACTTGACATACATGCATATTTTCCCTCCCTTGCAGAGCTGCAGTGCAGATTTTTAAAAACACATACATCATCATGCTCTGAAGATAAATCTGATCACATTTTTTTCTTTTTAATTAGAGGATTTAACAATTACGTTATTTTATTTAGGATATAGAAAACTTCTGGCTTCACAGCACAACATTTAAGGGAAGAGGTTTCCCCTCAGATTCTCTGTTAATCACCTACCAGAGAACAACTGTCCAATCTCACAGATGAAACAGTCAAATGTGCTGGATAGCAAAACATTCATTCTTTATTGACTGGAAAAATACAAGGACCAAAAGAAGAAAAAACATAAGTGCAGTCAAAACAAAATTCCCAAATCACCCGTGATTAAAACCCCCAAAAGCGACTTCATTTCATCAACTGAATACACTTCAAAATGACAGCGTTAATGTGCAGCAGATAAAGCGCTATGTTAAATCATGCCACTAAGCAGAGAAGGGATCGCAGAGAGGGCTGGTGGTGGGACAGGTAGTAAAGGAGGGAAAAGGCCAGCCATTTAGCTAGTACAGGGCATCGTGAGTCAAAGCCGCAAGTCAGGAAAAGCATCATCGCTCGAGTCTCTCAGATCGCATCGATGTCAATGTCGTCCTCTTCTTTCTCTGGCGTGTCTGGTTTCACAGTCTCCACTTTGAGCTCGCGGGCAGAGGACGAGTACACCACCTGAGGACAGGAAAACATGCAGCTGCTCAATAAACACCCCCGGCTGCATCAGCATCAGTCCTCTCACAACAGAGACAAATCTGTCGCATTTTAAAAATTAGTACAACTCTAACCTTCATGCTTACTGTCATTTTTAAAAATTGACTTTCAAGCTGCTAACGAGCGAGGTGCCAGTAGACCGGAGTCACCCTGTGGTCAGCTGGTGAAATGGAATATTGGAATTTTATGCAGGTTTCATACTCAGTCTCCAAGCATAGTCTGCAGGTATTAAAGTGATTTGATTTTCATACTAAATTGCAGTTTTTATATTCGTACAGAGCAAAACAAAAAAACAAAAAAACAAAAAGCCACTAAAAGTCTGCATCCATTTTAAACTGAGTGACGCAATAGTCACAGGACTGGCCTCTTTGTGCTTCCTCCTTTCGGGGTGCAGCTTCCTTGTTGGAAATGTTATTCCTAATTCTTCCAGGAACTAGTGGGCAGAGCTGACCTAGTTAATGATGCAGCACACCTGAGCAGGCTGACAGATTGGTGTGCATATATGGATATACGTATACGAGTAAATGCACTCACTTATATACACACACCTATATCCATAATGCACACTGACTACATGTGGCAGCTGGAAGCAGTTGTGACAATGACGTGATTAATTTTTGCTTTAATCTGGACGTTCTCAGTAACTCCTGAACTCCTGCTGTTTTTTTACTGTACTTCACGGCACACAGCCAAGTGACCATTTCAGATAACTACCTCAACATTCTCATCATCTTCCTCCTCCTCTTCTTCGCTACCCTCGCTCTCCTCCTCTGCCTCCTTCAGCCATTTGACAAAAGGAGCGGCCTTGGCATGGATCTCTTTGGCAAGTTCCTTGGAGACGTACTTCTTAGAAACCTGATGAAGAAGAAGAGAACGGATTTAATGCAATGACTGATTTCAGTGTAAAAGACCTCAAATAAACAAGCCCTTGGGATTATTTGAACTGTAGTCTTCATGCTGCTGTTGCAGTATTTAGCATCTAACAGTTAATGTGTATCCAAAATAAATAAAATACCGTAACAAAAGTCACAGTTAAGAGAAAGCTAGCTCAAATTTTCAGGATGTACAGACTTAGCAAAATGTTTAAAAACTCAACTAATTCTGCATTTACTAAAAGCACTTTTTATCTTTATACCTATTCATTCCTCCACTTCTATTGTTTAATATATTTAATTCACACATTTTGAATTGATTACAATTCAACTTGCTCTCAGCTGTGTCTATTCGTTCCCAAACCAGCTTGATTGCATTTAAAATATGCCCCACACAAAATTTACAACCATTAGGGCCTCAATAGTGCACCAGAATCTCAGCCCACACACAAAGCCCCTTTAAAAACACCAGGTCTTACATTTCTTTGTTAATGGCCTTTTCAGGCTTTCTTTGGTGGAACACTGTCTGAAAGGATGTGTTGAGCCCAACACTCTGCTTTT